TAACACTGGAATGAGTTGCAAAAAGTGTGCCACTTTACATTTTCATGTATTCAGTTAAATAATTTTATTCCTAAATATCCAAGCTCTCTGCACTACCTGCTCTCAGTAGTGCCTTTTTCCAGGCTTGACAATACATAGGTGTGATTATAAATCATGAAACAGGTAAAAGGGAGGGGAAAGCCCCAAACTGCTATGGGGACATTTATAATCTATATGCTGCACCCATGGACCCAACAGTGGTGTTTTCTTGTCAGTTTTACATAATTTCAACCTCTATATATTATATGTACATATATATATATATATATTTTAAAATCTATATTTTGGGGAAAAGTATATACACTGTGTCTTCTTTTCAGATTTTTTTACCTTTATGACAAAGAAAACACATAAAAGGCTTATCAGGATGTAACTGACTAGGCATCTGTGGCTATACCTGTTGTCTTCCATTCTATGTTTCCTAACCAGATCTGAGGAGCTGAGACAACGACCTCCACCTGTTTGGTTTTGTTTCCCCTCTTTAGCAAATAATCCCAGTAGTGAACTAAGCCACTCTACAACAGCAAAACTAATTGATCTACTTTATATGTTTGTGGGTTTTTTACTGTATTTTTTAATGAATGTACGATGAGAAATTCATTAATAATTTTGAATTTTCTTATCACAAAAAGATAAAACGAAGGACCTCAACATACAAAAGAGTTTATCAGTCTGAGTCTGTCTTCACTTGAATGTTTGTTTTTGAGAATATGTAAAAAGGAATTAAATGCACCTTCATGCAGCCTGCATAAGAACTTCCATCATTGTATATATAAGCCTTTGCCATATTGCCCCACAAGATTATCCACTGTGCTTGATGAGTGAACATTAAACAAATCTGTTACCAGTTGACATTTTTGGTTAATAAAACTATAGGAATTATTTCACAAACAAAATATGTAAAGCAGTATTAAAATCTGAGTTATGTACCTACTTTAATAAATAGATTCTTTTTTTCTGCCAGTGGTAGTAAACACATGATTGGGATGATTTGTCATTTTTTTTCTTCAAGTAAGAAAGCACAGTTTTGGCCGGGCAGTGGTAGTGCACACCTTTAATCCCAGCACTCGGGAGACAGAGGCAGGTGGATCTCTGTGAGTTTGAGTCTAGCCTGGTCTACAAGAGCTAGTTACAGAGCAGCCAGGACTGTCATACAGAGAAACTCTGTTTCAGGGGATGGAAATGGGGGGAGAGCCCTTTAGATCTAAAAGATAATCCCTTGCTGCCTCTACCACTAAACCACTAAGCCACAATGACAGTTCAGAAAATAGCTCTTTCCACTTCAATAGAACAACTTGATAATCAACTGTAAGAAATTCTGAGTTCGAGGTCAGCCTGGTCTACAGAGTGAGTTCCAGGACAGCCAGGGCTACTCAGAGAAACTCTGTCCTAACAAAATAACAAAATGTCAGCAGGAGCTGGATATATAGTTCAGTGTTCCAGTGCATGCCCAACACGCATGAAGACCTGGGTTCAATCCCTAGCACCACACAAATGCCAAAGGCAGCTTCCTGAGGTTCATTGATTTGGATATTGTTTGGGAATGGTGTGGCTTGCTTGGGAATGATGATGCCAATCACTGAAACAAGGAAAAGATACAGAACCGAGCGTGGTGGCAAGTACCTCGTCCCTGCTTTGGGAAGATGGAGATTGGAGGATCAAAAAAAGTTCAAGGTCTTCCCTGGACAATTAGCAAGTTCGAGGCTAGCCTGGGATACATGAGAGAGAACCTGGGGAGGTAGCTCAGTCAGGACATGGGTTTGAACCCAGAATCCACAGAGTTGAGCATAGTGGCACACAGTTGTGATCCTAGTACAGAGGAAACAGATAGACAGGCCCTAGGTGCTAACTGACCAGCTGGCCTAACCTACTTGGCAAGTTTCAAGTCAGTGAAAGAAGTTTACGAAAGTGATTGGCACCTCAGGAATGACAACTGAGGTTGGCCTCTGTCCTCAGTGTGTGCCTGCACTTGCATGTGTGCACACATAAATGCCAGGAGCTAGCAGGCTTTAATCTCTGTAAGGTTCCACTGTTAACCAAAAGAGAGGATGCTACCAATTCAACTGATGTGGATTTTGGGAATTGGAATGGAGACATCCAATCCTGACTGGGGCTGGTAGATTGATAGGAGTTAAAGGCCAGCCTGGCCTCTATGATGAGACCGTGTCTCAAGGTAGGAGTGGAGTGGGTGTACAAAGATTGAAAATGCTTCCAACCCAACAGAGGAAGAATGTCTCAGAAGATCACACAACCTCTTGGAAGGATCCTGGGCTTCCAAGTGACTTCATGAAACACCATCAACCAATTCTGTTCACACAAGAACATTAGAGACACATTTCAAAAAAAAAAAAAAAAGAAAAGAAAAGAAAAAAGAATCAAAAGAAGCCACGTGTAGTATACATCTGTCACCCCAATACTTGGGAGGGAGGTCAAAAGTTCGAGGTCATCCTCAGCTACATAGTGAGTTCAACACCTCCTGGACTATATGAGGCCGTGTAAGAAGCTGGAAAAAAAACTGATTTTTTTTTGTTATTGTTATTGTTGTTTGAGACAGGGTTTCTTTTGTGAACCATTCAAAAATTAAATGTCTTGGGTAATCCCCAGCATATTAAGAAAAAAAGTATAAGTGGGACTGACGCGGTGGAGGATGGGAACAGATACTCTACACTCCATATCCTAAAAAGGAGTGTCTACACATAACAGTTATTGCTATCTTAGTACACACTATTAACAGCTTGCTTGCCTTTAACTCTCCAGATGGCCTTATAGGAACACAAAGTTGACACTAGCTGATTCAGCTCAGGCTTCCAGATGTTAAGAGGTAATGTAGCTGACCACCTAACCAGAGGGATGACACTGAGCTCCTAAACAATTGACAGCCCTGTGCACTTCCTTCACCCCCTCCCACCAGTAGGCCTTCAGATTCATGGCTGGAGAGATGGCTTAATGGTTAAGAGCATTTACTACTCTTCCCAGAGAACTGGTATTGTTTTCCTAGTACCCAGGTAACAACTCACAACCACCTGTAAATCCAGTTCCAGGGATCTGATGCCGAATGGGTACCTGCACTCAGATGCACGTATCCACATGCAACACACACACACACACACAAATATGCACACACCCACACACACACACACACACACACACAACCACACACCACACACACACACACACCAAGAGTGTACACACACACACACAACCACACACACCACACACACACACACTAAGAGTGTACACTCACACACCACAAACACACACACACACAACCACACACACACACACACACACACACACACACACACACACAGTTTTTTTGTTTTGTTTTTTTTTTTTAATTGTTTTTGGAGACAGGGTTTCTCTAACAGCCTTAGCTGTCCTGGAACTAGCTCTGTAAGCCAGGCTGGCTTCAGAAATCTGCCTGCCTCTGCTTCCCGAGTGCTGGGATCAAAGGTGCACACCACCATGCCCAGCTTTATTATTATTTTTTGAAAAACAAACCTTTAATATTCCTTTCCTGACCCCTTTTATTGGCTTTTATGGGGACAGGAAACAAGCTTCAGTATTCTGGTTACAGTACAGCAACATATAATTCCACTTATTTTGTAGTGCTTGGGGTGGGGTTAAACCTAAGGCCTTTCACATCCTTGGCAAACACCCTACCACTGAGCTATGTCTTTAGACCTAGACCTTGCCTTTGAGAAAAGCCCTTACTATGTAGCTCAGGTTGGACTGGGCCTTGCTATGTAGACCAAAACTTACTATCCTTCTCTGCTTCCCAAGTGCTGGGATTATAGGCATGTGCCACTCTGTCTTCTTATTAGTAACCCGCAAAACTTTATATGCTCTCAAAATTGCTGGGATAGCTACTGAACCAGTTGACTATATGACTACCTCCCCACACAGTAGTTTCAAATGCAGCATGTTAAATAATACCTCGCAACATAGTAGCTGTAGTAGTAATTTGAGATAACTGGGTGATTATGAGGGCTGAAGAGCTGTCAAAGCAGTTAACAGCACTTGCTGCTTTTGCAGTAACTCTAAAAATAACGTGGTGTTGCCGACATTTTTGAGTTGCCACATGGGTGCTGGAAACCCAATTGGGTTGTCTGGATGAACAGCAAGCGCTCTTGATCACTAAGCCATTTCTCTTTCCTCTTTATCTTGTGTTTGCCTGAAGGTATATATAAACTCGGCCCACAGTGCCTTTGTAGGCCAGAAAAGGGTATTGGAACTCCCTGGAATGGGAATTGCAGATGGTCGGGAGCCACAAACCGGATCCTCTGGAAAAGCAGCAAGTGCACTTTACTGCCCAGCTATTTCCTCAGTCCATTTATTGTTTGTTTACTTGGAGACAGGGTCTCCCTGTGTAGCCCTAGTTGTCCTGCTACTCGCTTTGTTAACCATGCTGGCCTGGAATTTACAGAGGTCTGTCTGTTCTGAGATTAAGCCGCTTTTAACACTAGACTGGGTGTGGTAATACACACTTTGTAGTCTGGCGTCAATCACCATTTTACACTAGTGTTTTAGCCGCTAAGATAGACGTGTGGTACCTTTTAAACAGGACAAATAACATCTAATTTTTTTATTTTGTTTTGTTTTTTCAGAGACAGGGTTTCTATGTGTAGCAGTGTTGATAAAACGCACTTCTCAACGTGGTGGCGCACTCCTTTAATCCCAGCACTCAGAAGGCAGAGCGCACAGAGATGGATCTCCGCGGGTTCCAGGACAGCAAAGGCTGTCACACAGAGAACTCCTGGAGAGAGAGAGAGAGAAAAGGGGGGGGAAGACAGACAGACAGACAGACAGACAGACA